AAATCACCCCCCAGGGGGGATGGCCATGCCGCAATCCCTTCTCCATTCTCCTCTCGGGATCTTGGGCACACATGCACACGCGCCCGGCGTGAGTTCTAAGCCACTGGGTCCAGGACATGAACTGCGGTCGACTACGTGGGAGTCCAGTGACATAGCCATTACGCTAACTGCTGGTTCCCGAAATAAATAATTCTTTAAAAAAATAAATAGATAAATAAAATTAAATAATTCTTTAAGTAAAGATATATATATATATATATCTATAATTTCTCTGCACTGATTGTAAAGTAGTTGACTTATGTCAGCACTCAATAAGTACCAGTCAGTTCTCAGATCTTGCTGATGGCTTGGGATTAGGTTGTTTCTTTTTCTTTTTTTTCTCTTCCTTTTTCTTTCTCTCTTCTTTTTTAATGAGTGAGACACAGAGGGGACTTTGACAGGGTGCCATGTTACAATCCCCAGCCCCAGTCTCCCAGCTGGTGAGGACACAGACATCCCCACTGCCCCTGGCCTGTTTAGACTGGTCCAGGATCCGAATCCAAGCCTCCAGCGTGGCTCTAACCTTGCAGAGCCGTGCCCTACTGCCTGCACCACTCGTTTAATGAGTAAACGGCACCACGATGCTATTGCAGGTGTACAGCACTTATGTTCTCTTCTTTAACATTACATCGGGGTATGTTTTTGGATCTTTATTCATGCTACAATTAGCACTGAAAGTGTTTGGATCCATGCACTCTAGCAGAAGCCATGGGCTGCTTTTGGACTTGCCCTGCTTCCATCCAGAGCGCACTCCCTGGGAGGTTAAGAACTGGAACCATCGCCTTCTCTAGGAAACTGTGCTTCCTCCCGGCCCCCACCCACCGGGCCCCTGACCAGTGGGAGCTCATCGTCTTATTGTTTTCTACTGGCTGTTTACCTCTCAGCCTCTTCTCCTGCCTCTGCACCTTTCACTGGACTCACGGCTCCCTAGCCCCTGGGACGGCACCTGCACGTTGTAGCGGCTTAATAAATGTGACTGTAAGGACGGTGTCCAGGGGGTGTCACGAGCACTGCCACTGGGTCTGTGGACTTCTCGAGGCGGGCTTTGGACGTCAGGGGTCCTTTAGCACCCGTGGCTAGTGTCGCCCTCGGCTTCCACGGCGTCTCGTTATTTAGAATATTTTCTCTCGGTGTGGGCTGTGCTGGTGGACAACGGTTAATGGTGGACGGTTTTATGGCCCCTGGATCCTGCAGTAAATAACGTTGATTCCCAGAGTGAGGAAATCACTTTTTTTGGTTCTTTTTCTACTGTTATTTCTCTAGGCCAGGGTTTCTCAACGTTGGCACCAAAGACATTTGAGGGCCTGTCTTGTGCTTGTGGGATGGTTAGCAGCATCCTCGCCTCTTCCTACTAGAGCCCTGGGGCACCCCGCCCCAGTTTTGACAATAAAAATGTATCCAGACATTGTCAAAGGATCCCTAGAGACTTAAGAATGACTGCTGTAGAAGACAGCCAATGATAATGTACTTTAAACGCCTTTTTTTTTCCCCTCAACTTCTGCCAGACAGTGCAAGTGCTTGCTAGAGAGACAAAGAGGGAGAGAGATCGCTGCCCAGGGGGTCATGCTGCAGTCCCTTCTCAATCTCTTCATCTTGTTGGGATTTGGGGCACACATGCGCATGTACCTGGCATGTTTCTCAGGCCACCAGGTTCGAGACTCGAATTGCACGGTCAGACATGTGTGATTCAGCTGCCTTAACCACCCTGCAGGTGTGTTCCAGCTCCCTTACCCCCCCTGCCACAGGCTGGCCCAGTTTAAACACCCCTATAACATGTGTCAATTTCATTTTTCCAAAAAGAGAGAGCAGGGCTCTGGCTTAGAGAACTTAGCAGGTAAAGCTATTTCACTAGAATTTAATCGCATTGTTTTGTTTTCCTTGAAGTTGCTTTCTTTGTTTTTAAAAAATGCTGTCACTGGAGACAGAAAGTGAGAAAGCACCCCTCAGGGGGATGACCACACTGCAGTCTCTTCTCTGATGTCTTCATGGCATTTTGGGCACGCATACACACGTACTTGGCTTGTTTCTTTTTCTTTTTTTCTTGGAGAGGTTTTTGCTATAGGGCGAGTGCACTCGACAGACAGACAGAGATAGAGACAGAAAGCGAGATATCACCCCCTAGGGAGGATGGCCATGGCGCAATTCCTTCTCCTCCATTCTCCTCTCGGGATCTTGGGCATGCACACATGTCCAGTGTGAGTTTAAGCCACAGGGTCTAGGACTCGAACCATAGTCGACTACATAGGAGTTCAGCGACATAGCCATTATGCTAACTGCTGGTCCCCTTGGCTTGTTTCTTAAGCTGCCAGGTCTGGAGCTTGAACTATGCCATCAGCCATGTGGGATCGAGCTGGCTTAACCACCATGCCATCTGGCTGGCCTTGGAAATTGCTTCTCATAACAAGTGAAAGCTTTACAAAGTGTTAGGAAAGTGTTACGAAGTTTTATTTATAAATAAATTTGTTTCAGTAAAAAAGGTCAGTGTCGGGACCAACAGTTAGCATAATGGCTATGTTGCTGGACTCCCATGTAGTCAATCGCGGTTCACGTCCCGGACCTGGTGGCTTAAACTCACACCGGGTGCATGTGCGTGCATGCGCAAGATCCCGAGAGGAGAATGGAAGAGAAGGGATTGCGATGTGGCCATCCCCCCTCGGGGGTGATTTCTCACTTTCTTTCTCTCTGTCTGTCTCTTTCTTTCTGGCGAGTGCATGCGCCCTATAGCAAAAACCTCTTCAAAAAAAAAAAAAAAAGTCAGTGAATATAGAGAAATGCACCTCAGTGTAGCTAGACATGGCCCAGATAACGTGGTAGACAGCTGGCTCTAAGCTCTGCAGCACTAGGCAGGGCATCTTCCTGTTCCAGGGATCCTATCACCTGTTTCTGTCTGGCAAGCGCACACGCCCGATGGCAAAAAAAAAAACAAAAACAAAACTCCATCTTGGGAGATGCCCTGGGGAGATGGTGTGGGCACCAGGCTTCCCACACCTTATCAGATGGGCCCACATTAATTGTGAACATGTGGCCCCGCCCGAAGCATACAGTTTGCTTCAAGCATTTGATCCTGGATCTAGGTAGGACTGTACTTGATCAAAATCATTCAGGTGGCTTTGCATCACAGGGTAAAGATCGCATAAGTCTGAAACCCAGCCAGTCCTGGTTTGAGGAGCAGGCATTTGAGAATAACCCGCAGAGGCCTGGAGCCTAGTTGATGTTGGAGAGGCACGATGTAGGAAAACACAGTCTCATTCAGGTCAGATATCTTGGCAAAGCTGTTGACCTGCTGTTGTCTCTGCTAGCCTTGTGGGAAAAATCTTCATCACTGGGCTGGCAGGTGGCGTGGTGGTTGGGGGGCTAGACTCCCACATGGCCAACCATGGTTTGAGTACCAGACCTGGTGGCTTGCTTCCTCACCTTCCCTCTCTCTCTGTCTTTCTGGTGAGCACACATGCCCTGTAGTAAATTTTTTTTTTTTTTTTTGCCATCAATAAGAAATTTACTTGTTGGGAACAGCAGTTAGCGTAATGCCTATGTTGCTGAACTCCCATGTAGTCTACCGCGGATCAAGTCCCAGACCCGGTGGCTTAAACTTGCACCGGGCGCATGTGCGTACGTGCCCAAGATCCCGAGAGGAGAATGGAAGAGAAGGGATTACAGCATGGCTATCCCCCCTGCGGGGGTGATTTCTTGCTTTCTGTCTGTCTTTCTGGTGAGCGCACGCGCCCTATTATGGGAGTCCAGTGCCCTTAACCACCACACCACCTACTAGCCCCCAAATTTACTTGTTTTTTAGAAATCCAAATGCTGGCATTGTCCAGAAAAATTTAACAGGTTTATTTATAGTCGTTATGAAGTTAAACTGCTGAAACTTGTTCACCAAAACATTTTGATGTGCATTAATACTTTACAGCCCCGCATTTATATTAAAAATCCACACACAAATGAAAATGGAAAACCTGCCAATACCCGATTCTGTCCCCTATTTTCCGCTCGCAATCATGTACTTAGGTACCTTTTGACCCCATAGGAAAAAAAAAATCTAAAGTTCAGAACTACCAATAACAGGAAGAAGAGAAAAAAATTTTGTTTTTGAGAATGAGATGTTTTCCATCATAGTGGATTCTTAAGCACGTTCTCCACATATGTGGCGTGCTAGCTGGATGTCTTTTGGCATAATTGTTACACGTTTGGCATGGCTAGCACACAGGCTGGTATCTTCAAAAAGGCCAGCCAAGTAGGCCTCCCGTGCCTCCTGCAAAGTACCAATAGCTGCTCTGGAAGCGCAGATCTGTTTTGAAATCCTGAGCCATTTCTCGCACCAGATGCTGGAAAGGAAGTTTGCGAATCTCAAGTTCTGGTAACGTCTAATTTCACGGAGTACCACAGTACCTGGCCTGTAACGATGAGGTTTCTTCACCCCTCCAGTAGAGGGCGCACTATTGGGAGAGGCTTTTGTAGCCAGTTGCTTCCTGGGTGCTTTAACCACAGGTGGATTTGCAGGCTGTCTGCTTCATACGGTAAAGAGACCTCCTCACTTACCCCTCCTCTTCGGCTGGAGCTCCGTGAGCTAGAGGTGCCGCTGGCATTGGACAGCGATGGTGGTGCGGCGGCAGCGGCTGCAAACACCGCCCTGTAGTAAATTTTTAAAAACAAATAAAATTAAGTAAATAATTCTTTTTTTAAAAGACTTATTCGCAAAGCAAGAAGTGTTAGATGTGCTTAGCAGCCCTCAGTGAATAATGGGTCGAGGTATTCAGCATTAGTGGCTGCCAGCAGCAGCCAAGGGTGAAACCAGGCAGGCGTGCTTCGTGCTGAGAGGACACATCACCTGTACTCGGAACAAAGGCTTCGGGTGATCTCCTCTAACCACGAACACGCAGAGAAAGGAGAGAAGAATATGTTGAATTGCACCATGTGTCTGCCATCGGCAAGCCTAGACTGAAACACTTGTTAAAAGAAAATCTTTAGTGCCAACAGGTGGTATGGAGGCGAAGGCGCTGGATCCCACATGGTCGACTGTGGTTTGAATCCTGGACCCAGCAGCTTGAAAAGTCACTCTGGGCATGTATATGTGTGCCCAAAAGCCCAAGAGGTGAATGAAGGAGAAGGGATTGTGGTATGGCCATCTTCCTTGGGGGGTGAGATCTCACCCTCTTTGTCTCTTTCTCTGGTGAGCGCATGCGCCCTATAACAAAAACAAAAATAAAGAAACAAACAAAAAAGAAAGAAAGAAAAACTTCAGATAAAATAAATTTAATAAAATTTATTTGAGCAGGGGTCAGCAGACGGTGTGGTAGTTGAGGCCCTGAACTCTCACATAGCTGACTGCTGTTCGAATCCCAGGTCTGGCCACTTACTTTCTCATTTCCCACCCCCATCTCCCTCTGGTGAGTGTCCATGCCCTCTATCAAGTTAGATGATAATAAATAAAATTAAATACATAATTATTTTTATAAAAAGTTTATTTGAGCAAAGAATGACTCGTGATTTGGGTGCACTCAGGGCCAGTGGAGGTTTGGAGAGCTGCGTGCAGCAGCGTGGGCGGCAAGCTTTGACTGAACGCAGAAGGAAGACTGCATGTGTTTGTTCCCGCGTGGGATCCAGCCCCTCTTCACAGCGCACTACTGCTGTGTCACATAGCCTGCCGGACAACTTGGTAGTAATGAGCGCTCCTAGGCCTATGCTATAGTGTCTAAGTATCATTTTTCTTTTCTTTTTAAGGTTCTTGCCACAGGGTGTGTGTGCTCACCAGAGAGAGACAGAGAGAGAGAAAGAGAGAAAGTGAGACATCACCCCCTGGGGTAAGGGGGAATGGCCATGGTGCAAGCCCTTCTCCATTCTCCTCTTGGGATTTTAGGCATGCACATACACGTCTTTGGCATGATTTTCAAGCTGCTGGGTCTGAGGTTTGAACTGTGGTTAACCATGTGGGAATCCAGCGTCTTAACCACTATGCCACCTGCTGGCCTCCTAAGTACCACTGAAAATATTCCTTGGAAAAATCGGTGATTTCAGATCTGAGGCAGAAGATGTTCAGGATGAGGCTGGGTGTTCTGTAATGCCCAAAAGCGAGGAGGCTATTGACTACTGAGGTTGTGTCAGTGGGACAGGAACCCACCAGAAGTTCCCGCTAGCCTAAGGGTGAGATGACTTCAACATCGAAGGGAATAATAAGGAGCCGTTTTGGAAAACAGCTTGGCAGTTTTTTTTAATATTTAAATCTCCTGCTGTCATATGACCTGAAAACTCATTCTTAGGTATTTGCCCAAGAGAAATAAAATATGTTCAGAGAAAGACCTGTATGCAAATTTGCATAATTGCAAAAGGCTGGAAGCAACGGAAACTTACACCAACTAATGAATGGACAAATAAATTGTGGTGCAGTGGGTACCACTCGGCAATAAAGGAGTGGACTACTGACATACTCGCAAACACGAGTGACTCCCTAAAGCGTTTTCAAAGTAACATCCTTGAGTGCGGAAGGGAATTGACTGCAAAGAAGCACAGAGAATGTCTGGAGGTCGCAGGTTTCCGTATCTTGGACGAGGTGCTGCTGTGTCATTTGTTGAGATTTATTAACTATACCCTTGGTTGGAATAGACCGTACATCAATTGTACTTCAGTAAGCCAGGCTTTAAAATAACTCCAATTAATTGAAATATTCAAATTTAAAAACGGGAGATTTCAAAATGATACTAAGGGGGCTGGATGGTGGCACGGCAGTAAAATGCAATGCTCTGTGAGGCTGCCCCACTGGGGAGGGGTCCAGGTGTGCACTCAGATCTCCCTGGGTACCCCAGGCGTGTGTGTGTTCATGATTCAGGGAAGGCTGAGGCTGGGAGTGGATCACAGCATCAAGAGCCTATGGGGGGGGGGGGCCAGGCGGCAGGTATAAGGGCTATGTGCCGGGGCCCC